CCTTTAGCTGAGCCAAGAATCCAGCTCCTACCCAGGATTGGATAGTCATCTTGGATTTTGTGTATAAACTTAACCCTAGCCAAACACACACATTTATATGCATACATACAAGTTTACTTTATCTTGTTATGTGTTATTGCAGATGCACTGTAGTACTTTTAAAATTTGTAAAACAAATATTTCTTTGTGAATAAATTAAAAACTCACCAAGTTATACATCTTAAAAAGGATAATTCCATGGTGTTTGGATTATATCTCAATGAAGCTATTATTAAAAATTCAGATATTTTCAAATAAAGCATTTTTTCATAAATATTTTTCTCTCCAGATTACAAAATAGTGGACACACATATAAGAAACTTGGAAAACATAGCTGAGGTAGAAAAAAGAAAAAAATACATCCCATAATACAAATAGTGACTGTTGACATTTAGTGATATTTTCTTCCATTATTTTTCCACCCTTATGTATGGATTATTTTTATAGTAAAGAGATCACTTATGTGTATAAAATTTTGTGTCTGCATTTCTTCATTCAGCAATATAGCATAATCATTTAACATACTCTTATAAATAAATTATTTAAATTTATTATTTTATTTTAATAAATCATTTTATTGGGGGCTCTTACATATAACAATCCATACATCCATTATATCAAGTGTACATGTACTAATGTTGCCATCAACAATTTCAAAACATTATCTTTCTTCTTGAGCCCTTTGTTATTAGCTCCTCTTTATTCCCTCCCTTGCCCTCTCTGCCACCCTCGCAGACCCTTAATATATTGTGTATTGTTTTTATTTATACATATCTTACAGTGCCCATTCGATCCCTATACCTACTATCCTTGTGTTTATCCCCCTCAAGGGCGGTTATTCTGCCATCATTGCTATCTGTTCTCTCTCCCCCCTCCTTGAGTTCCCCTACACTCTTGGAATCATTACACGCATTACTATTTCTGAGAGATTTGTCTCCTGACATATATTGAAAGCTTTTGTCTGAACCCATGTATGTACACCAGTCTATCAGGATTTGCAAGGTAAGCCTGAGATCATAACAGTGGGAGGAGGAAGGATTAAAGAACTAGAGGAGTGTTGTATGTTTCATCAGTGCTAAACTGCCCCCCAGATATATCTTCTCTTCCCTGTGGCCCCTCTGTGCAGGAATGTCCGATTGTCTCCTTCACCTCAATGAGGTTGTTTATTTTTGAACTTCCGGTGCCTGTTCCCATCGACACCTCATGATCATACAGGCTGGTATACTTCTTCCATATGGGCTTTCTTGATTTCCTGCTAGATGATTATTTGTTTGGCTTCAGTCTTTTAAGTCCCCAGATGCAATAGCTTTTAATAGCTGGGCACCATCTGCTTTATTCATCACATTTGCTTATGTGCCCAGTCTGTCTTCAGCGATCGTGTCAGGATGGTGGGCATTGCCCAGTGCCACATTATTAGAACCAATATAAATGCTTTATAAACATTTTCATAGCTGTTCAGTGAGTCACTGATATAGTAATTGTATATTACTTAACCATTACTGTTAGATACTTTTCACTTTGAGAAATAACACTATAGTGAACACCTTTGAGGATAATCCTGATGGTCATTTCAGATTTATTTTCTTAGATACATGCCATATATAGCAAAGATTCTGAATGCTTTAAAGATATTTAATATACATTTTCAAGTGACTTTTTATAAGGCATGGCCTCTATTAGCCTAAAAAGTGTCTTTATTCAGAGTACATATCTCTGGGTAGAGAGCCCTGGAACTTCAAGTTTGGAGTAGGGTGTGTTGTGGGCTGTGTCATACCAGATTCATACCCTCTCTCTGGACACCTTTGTGTAGTTTATAGCTGCACTATATGCATGTGTTAGTCTGGGTTGACTAGAAAAACAAATCCAGAGATACTCATGTGTATTTAAAAGAGCTTTATATACAGGAGCAGTTGAATATTGAGAAAACATCCCAGCCCAGTTCAGATCAAGTCCATAAGTCCGATATTAGTCCATATGTCCAATACCAATCTATAAATACCTCTTCAGACTCATGCAACACATACAATGATGCTGAATGCAGGAAGGCCAGTCAGTGGAAAATCTTGTGGATCCAGTAGTAGTGGAAGCATCTCAGCACTGGTGTGGGTCTCCACGTGGCTCCTCCAGCTCCAGGGCTCTAGTGTCGCTCCATGTATCTTCTCAACAGCAATGTCTTGCAGAGACTGTCTGTGTCCCTCCTCTAGCAAGCTATTTATCTCCTTAGCACCTCCAAATGAGATCATCAAGCTGTGACCTGATTGACAGGCTGAACTCCACCCCTTCCACTCGTAATAGTCTCAAATTGACAATCGATTATGTAACTACCACAATGTATAAGAGGTACACCCGTGTCTTTCCTTCATTAGTACTGGAGAGATCGGTCCCTGGAAAAGGATATCATGCTTGGTAATGTAATGGGTCAACAAAAAAGAGGAAGACCCTCAATAACATGGATGGACACGGTGGCTGCAACAGTGGGCGATGGCACAGGAACAGGCAGTAGTTTGTTCAGTTGTACATGAGCCAGAACCAACTTGACAGCACCTAATAACACCCATAACAAATCGCACATAAAAGTCCCTATCTGACAAAACTCATGTCAGTAGAGAGATTCATATAAACCCCTCAGTCCATAAATGAAAAATAGCATATTGTTGTATTAACTTACCCTTGCTGACTAGGGGGATGAACATCTATTCATATGTTCATATTAATTTTAATGCTCTTAGTATCTGTCATGTGATATTTTGTATGTTAATTTGATTACATAGGATATGTATTTTTTGTTGGTGATAATCTTTCTAGTTTGCTCATACTATTTTATGAAAACTATTTTAGTTTTATTTAGGTCAATATTTTCTCTACCTTCTGCCTTAGTTTTATCTTTGTAGTTCTTTCCCATTCAGACACTTGAAAAATGCTTACATTTTCTTCTTGTTTATTATTCTATTTCATTAACAAAATTTATTGTTGTTTAGGTGAATGTTTACAGAGCAAATTAGTTATCCATTTAGCAATTTATACGGATTATTCCGTGGCATTAGTTGCAATCCCCACAAGTGATGTTAGCATTACTGCTTTTTCCATATTAGGCTGCTTGTTTTCAGTGGCCCAGTTTTCCCGTGCTCTTAGCTTTGCTTTAGGGCAAATACTGCCCTCTTGATCTTGGATGAGGGAACTTCAGAAAGTTCATGGAGAAATTACATTATCAGATAATTCTATTTTTCTATGAACTTTTTGGAGCCCCTTTTTATGTTGTTAGTTCTGATGAGCATGTGCCTCCTGGGTATTACTGTTCACTTTACTGGTCTGTTCTCTGTGTGACTGAAAGGTTATTCCCAGAAGTAACTCTAGCTCTAAGTTAGAAAGGTGTTCAAGGGTCATAGTCACAAGGGTTCCACCAGGTCCTGTCAGACTGGGAAGTCTGGCCTTTTTTGTGAATTTGCATTTTGTTCGACCTTGTTCTCCTGCTGTTTGGTGCTACCTCCTCTACTTGATCTCAGATTAGGGGAGGCTGTGGTCCTGTAATTTATTAATCCTTTGGATTAATTATTTCCTTCAGTCTTTGGTTTTCTTCAGTCAAATTTTCTCTGGACAGGAACAGACAAATAATTGTAACTCAAATGGACATTCAAAAGACTCGTGTTGCTACTCACCAAAGTAGGACGAAGAACATTGTCTTTATTGACTGTGTTATGCCAACTGACCAACATGTCCCTGAAACGATGGTCCTGAACCCTCAAGCCAGTTTCTCTGTCTCAGGACGTGGTTATGCTCAGAAGTTTTTGTGATTGTGTCCCAGTGGGCTCTATTATATACATGAGTATATTGACTACCAGCCCTTTGAATGCACGTAGTTATACTCTCATAGACCTTCCCAATCCAGATCAATTTACGTAACTAACTCTGTATCTACTTGTATGTTATTGTTCATTAAAAGCCTTATTACAGAATTCTGTATATAACTTTTTTTTTACATTTACTCTTGCTGACCTTTCAGTGTCTTTTTTTGCCTTAGTTATGTGTTGACTTCGCCTGCATTATATATTGTCTTTCCCATCACCAAAATTTGCACGTGTCTGTTATCTAGTTCCCATCCCTTTCTGTCCCTGTTAACCACCATGGACTGTTTCTTTCTGTGTGTAAACCTTTTCTTGACTTTTTACAATGCTGGTCCCATACAGTGTTTGCCCTTTTGCAAAATGTCCTTCAGGTTCAACCATGTGGTGAGATGTTTCGCAGATTCCTTATTCTTGAACATTACATGGTATCCCACTGTGTGAACATACTAGAATTGTTTACCCATTGATTTGTTGGTAGTAACAGTGGTGGTTTCTGAGTTTTCACTATTGTGAATAATGCTGCAAGGCTCTTTTTTCTCTGGGATAGAATTCTACGATTGCTGAGCCTTACGGTTTTCTGTTTCTAGCTTTATGAGGAGGTGTTATGCCATTTTCTATCATGCCTGTATTTCATTTCCTTTTGACATTGATCTCTTTACATTAAGCTGAACTATATTTTGATGAATGGTGTAAGCTGCAAATTTAAAGTTTTATAAATACTCTCAGCACCACATATTTATAATCTTTCTTTTCCTAAGTGATGTGTAAAGATTCCTTTGTTTTATATTAAATTCTCATGGATCTACTTGGATAAAAAATTTTTTCTGAGTTTTAAAACAACAAAGAGCCCATTCTTAATATTAGATGACTGGAATTCATTCATTATACATTATTATTTCATGTTAACATTTGTTAAAATTGATGTAACAATTATTATTGTAATAATTTTAAAGTGGATTTATTTTTTTTTCTTTATACCCTGAATGAGTACTTGGACAAATGGAGATTCCTAGCTTTCATGAGCCTACTTCATTTACAAATGGCCCATATTCTATGCAGTGAACATAATCAGCACTTGCATATTTTTGAAAATTTAATTTTTCTGTTTTATGTTTTTAGAGTTTATTATCTCATATACTTTCTGCATTTAGAATGGATATGAAAGAAGTTGGTCTTTTTTGTCATGGTCTTGGGTATGCACCTGCTGATTACTGCCCTCGTTTGCTTAAAAATGTGAGTATTTTTAATATCTTAGTGCTAAATTTATCGTTGCTGAATGTACTCAGCAAAAAAGAATAAATGGAAACAGTTCGCTTCTCTCGGAAAGATGTCTAATTCTTCCGTGTCTGTTCCTTCCTACCTTGGGTGAATTTATGACCATGTGAGGAAACAGTGTGAGGTGACTAATTGTGAATTAAAAGACGGAAACCAGAAGAAGTTTTCTAAATTAATCAACCAACCTCTCATCACCCTCATAACATTTCAGAGGTTTTCTTAACCACTGAACACTCAGCTTTGTACTATTGGACAGACCTTATATTTCAAATACCTGGTTTAAATTTTGTTTAAGCAAAATTTAAAAAAATTAATAAATACTATTTCTGTACATGGTATAATGTACAGCTTAATATTCACACTGTTAGGAGCCCTGGTGGTACCATGGTTAAAGTTTTTGACTGCAAACCAAGTGATGTGTATTTTGAACACACCAGCAGTTCTGCTATAGCTGCAGTTTGTGTCTGTAAAGATTTACAGTCTTGGACCCCCACGGGGCGTTCCACTCTGTGCTATAGTATCTCTATTAGTTGGGATTGTTTCAGTAGGTTTGATGTGTTTGGTTTAATGATAAAATTAGGTTCTCTTCTGCCTTGAATTTTAGAAAATTCAAGAAATTTTTATTTCTGATCTTGACTTAACTATTGAATAAGAATGTTGTGAGATTTTAGTGGATATTGACCATTCTAGTCTTTTGAAAACTTTGTACATGAAAAATATTTTCACAAATAAAGCATTAATGAAGAAAGATGTCAACTATTTTGCTTTTTTTTTTAGGTGTGATTTTAATGCTTGGGAATGCAAAATGACAGATTTGAAATGCAAAATTCCAATGACTAGTAAATGTGATTTGGCCCTGCTTTCATGATTTCATTCCGACAACATAAACCGGGGGTGGGGGTGGGGGCTGTCCTCAATCGAAATATTCCTCACACCAAGACAATGGGACTGAGGTCATCCTGCGCACAGTATGAGTTAAGCTGCCTCTGGTTTTGTTTTACAGATGGTTTCATCATTAGTGTCTGAACTGAGAGAGAACCATCTTAATGGATTTAACACTCAAAAGCGGTAGGTGTTAAACAAAACATCCCTATTCTCAAGTTTCAAAGCATATCAGTTAAGGTTTTAAGAGGAAAAAAATGGAATAATTGTTAGGAAGCGAATGCTTGTAGTTATGGTTATATTCTATGTGGAGAGATTATTTTAGTGCTAGAGATAAACTGATGAATTTTTATGAAACTTTTCTTTATAATCACTATTAACTTGTGCCATATCTGTCATGCCCATTGAGCAAAAAGTCCCCTATAATACAGTTGTGCACAGAGAAGAGAGAAGAGTGCTCACCCTCACCTCAGTTGCTTACCTTGAGAGGAATAAGGTATCCAGATGTACTGTGAGATCCTGCTCACACCTGCTCAGCCCACCCAAGGGTGTGTGATGTACACAATCAGAATATTTACAAGGAAGCAGATATTTGATGTGCGTATTTTAAGAAGCATAATATTCAAAAATCGAGACTGAATAAACCAAACAGATGTAGACCACTTAAAAATCAATTAATCACAATAGAAAAGGTTTCTTCACTCTGAAAGAATTCAGAGTGAGTATTTCATTTCTAGCAAATTAGTAACTAGAGAATCTGGGGACTGAGGGAGTTTATGATTTTTTTTTAAGCTCTTGCCAATTAAACCTCTATCAGAAATGATGTTTTCTCTCAGCCTTTAGTAATTCTTTGTATCAAACCTTAAAGCAGGATCCCCAGTGGCACTGTGGGCAAGGTAGGAGGTTCAAACCCCCCTGCTCGCCTTGGAAACCCTATATGAGGTCACTATAAGTTGGAATCTACTTGAGGGTAGTGGGTTTGTTTGTTTGTTTGTTGTTGTTGTTGTTGTTGTTTGTAACACTTAAAGCAAACTCTTCTTGACTAGGGGAGGACTCATCTGTGCTCAGAATAGAGCAAAGTCTATGCTATAGGCAAGAAGGAAAAGATGTTGTACATAAATATCTTGGGGCATAGACCAAGGTTTCCAGATATATAGAGTGCTCAGGGATCAGAGAATCAAGGTTTGATTGACAGGGTGTCAAGCTGTCCACTCGCTACCTTGCCTCTGCACCAATTGTTGCCATCCTTGAAATAGTCACGCTCCTCATCACCGCAGTGAACATTCATTGAAATCCTGTGATGTGTAAAGCTCTGTTTATGTGACGTGTTTACAAAGCCACATAGCATGTGTTCCTCAGCCTTCAGGAGCTTACAGACTGTGAAAAAAGATCACAGTGAACTTAAAGGTCAAGACTTTGACATGGGTATACAAGTGCCATAGGTTTTGCTCAGTCCCTTAAACTTTGCTAGTGTACATAATACAAAGTAAAATACATTTTTTTACTTGATTCTACAGGGAATCATATAATTAATTATTATAACTTTTTAACATTAAAATCAATAATACTTTTTAAAACAATTAAAAAAACTGTTGCCAATGATAAGATTCTGACTTATAATGACTGTGTTAAGCTGGGTTCTCTAGTGAAGCAAGACCATTGATGAGTGTCTATATACAAAGAGAGAAATTTATATCAAGGAAATGGCTCACCCAGTTGTAGAAATGGGTATGTCTTTTGCAGTTCCAAGTCCGTGATAAGCTGGAGACTGCTCCTGACTCATAGCTTTGAGGGCAGATGAACCTGAGATTAGCAGGAACAACACAAACAAGTGACTGTAGAGGTGGATGAATCCAAGACAGCAGTTCTCAACCTCTTTGTGGGTTGAACAACCCTTTCACAGGGGTCACCTAAGACCATCAGGAAACACATAAATATTTCACAATATATAATTATATATTGTCTTGTGATTAATCAGTATGCTTTAATTATGCTCAATTTGTAACAATGAAAATACATCCTGCATATCAGATATTTACATCACGAATCATAACAGTAGCAAAATTATAGTCCAGAAGTAGCAACAAAAATAATGTTATGGTTGGGAATCACCACAATATGAAGGACTGCATTAAAGGGTTGCAGCATTAGAAGGTTGAGAACCATTGATCCAATATCAGCAGGCCAGATCGCAGGCAGCTAATGACTTCCAGGAACAGCAGACAATATGGCAAGCCATTGGCTCAATCAAGAGGAATGGGGGTGGTGATTACACAACTCATTTTAAAAGTGATTTAACCGCG